TAGTCTCATTCCCTTTGATAATCTATCAACTCCCTCTCTAGTTGGCCTTTTGTAAGTGGATCCGACACATTATCATTTGACTTTACATAGTCAATTATGATAATTCCACTACAGAGTAGTTCTATAACGATATTATGTCTACGTCATATATGACGAGACTTTCCGTTATACATCATTCTCCATGCCCTACCTATTGCAAATTTAACTCTCACAATGTATGCTTACTGGAGCTAAAAGGTTTGGGCCAAAAATCTTTCAAGAAATTTTGGAGTCTTTCAACTTCTTCACTGGCCTTATCTAGAGTGATAAAGTCAGATTTCATAGTAGAGCAAGCGATACATTTCTGTTTGGAAGATTTCCAAGAGACTGCTCCTCCACCAAGAGTAAATACATATTCACTCGTGGATTTTACTTCATTTGAACTGGTGATTTAATTTGCATCACTATATTCTTCTAATACTGTTGAATATTAGTTATAATGCAAGACAATAATTTTTAAGTATGTTTTAAATACTCCAAAACCTTTTTTCATTGTCATCCAATGAGTTTGATTGAGATTACTTGTGAACCAACTCAGTTTACTAATAGCAGATGCTATATCTGATTGCGTACACTTCATGATATATATCATATTTCTCAATACTTTAGCATAATCCAATTGCGAGTCACGTTTGCCTTCATTTTTTGAAGTACAAAGCTCACATTTATTGGAGTCCTGACAATATTGAAATCCAAATACTTGAACTTGTCAAGTACTTTTTCAATCACATCAGTAACTTCAATGTCTTTCATATCGAAATTACTTTCTAGCATATGCTTAGTAGCGTTATGTCAGAAATGTCTCTTTTGATGATCAATATGTCATCAACATGAATACAAACGATGACCTTGTGATTTGGAGTGTCTTTAATGTAAAAACATTTATCACATTCATTAATGTTGAATTCATTTGCCAACATAGTTTGGTCAACTTTTGCATGTCATTATTTGAGCGCTTGTTTTTAGTCCACAAAGTGTCTTAACATGTTTACAGACTTCCTTTTCTTTACCAGGAACCACAAAACCCTCGGGTTGTTCCATGTAAATTTCTTCCTCCAATTCTCCATTTTAAAAAAAAATGTTTTTACATTCATTTTTGGTGAATTTGAAGGTCATATACCGCAACTAGCGCAATTAACATCTGAATTGATGTAATCCTAGTTAGTGGCTATTATGTGTGAAAATCAATCAAGGCATTCTTATTGTCTAAAGCCAATGACCACAAGTCTTGCTTTGTATTTGTCAATAGTTTCATCAACTTTCTTCTTCTTTTTGTAGATCCACTTTAAACCCAAAGGTTTATTTCTTGGAGGAAGATCAACCAACTCTCAAGTAAGGTTACTCAAGATTGAATATATCTTACTATTGACAACCTTTTATCAAAAAGAATGAGTCCACAAAGGACATAGCTTCTTAGAACATATGAGACTCAATTTCAAGCAAAAATGTTATAAAATCAAACTCGAAGGAAGTAATTTGTCCATTGACATTTACTACGCCTATGAATCTCTTTATTAAGTTCATTCTCCTTTGGTTCATTCCAAGGTCGTTTAGACCCTTTACTTGACTATCCGACAGTTTGGAATTATGAACCATAAATCAACATGCTTTACTATTTGTAGCATATCCAATGAACATGCAATCCACAGTCTTAGGTCCTCCTTTGACCCTTTTGGGAATATTTCCTTATTTCCATTTGTCATATGGAATAGACTGTATTGGAAATTGTTAAATCACAATTTTTAAAGAGTTATTACTTGTATATACTTTAAGGGGTGACAAGCAATTCTCTATCAGGATACAACAAAGTCTGAACAATCAAAACTTTTTGTTGCTCCCTTTCTTAAAAGTCAAAAGTTTTTTTATTTGTTACTCCCTTTACTAACAAACAAAACTTTTGTTTCTCTCTTTCTGAACAGACAAACTTTTTGTTGTTCTCTTTTGCTATACTGATAGCACCCCCACAAATTTTGTGGTAAACCTGAACTTATAAATAGGGCATTCAACATTTCCTTCAAAGTTTGGTTTTTTTCTGTCAACAATTTCATTAGATTAAGGTGAGAATGTGAAGTAATTTGATGGATGATCCCATTTTCCAAATATATTTCTGCAAAAGAAGATTCATATTCTCCACATCTACCACTTCTAATCATAACAATCATTTCATCCAACTGATTTTCAAGTTTAGTTTTATATTGTCTATATGTTTCTATTGCCAATAAAATTTATGTAACACTTTTTCCCACCACGAGATGGTATTGACTTCATATCACAAATGTCAGTATAAATCAATTCTCAGGTATTAAAATTCCTTTCAACAACACGTACTTGACATTTTGATTTATTGCACTAGAAGTTAGGTAAAACTTCTAAGTTGATCAGCTTTTGTAAGGTTTCGTAATTGACATGTCCCAAGCATTTATGTCACAAACAATTTGATTCAAGCAAGTAAGAATAAACAGAAACACTAAGTTTGAAAAGACCTTCTGTGTGGTAACTTTTTCCCACAAATATTTTGTTCTTTACTTTTTATAACTTTCTCAAATACAGACATTGTTTTAGAGTCAACACCTTGTCATATGTCCTTTACAGAAGGACCTTTCCATAGCATCCAATTTGTTATAGAATTATCCATGACCATAGTCTCATCTGTCCAATAAGGGCAATATGACCCAAATGTTTGTTTTACAACACAAACATAACAGATCACTTTTCACCAATGTTCATGTCTATACAAAAAAGATTATTTTAATAGACATGTCTTTTCATGAAAAATCACAATATTTTAAGTGAAACTTTTTCATCAAAGAATACAATTTTTTTGAACGAGTAATATAATTTTGTGATTTTACACTAGTCATATCATATACTAGTAAAGAGAGACTTAACGACCACAATATCAAATATACTCCAAGAATTTTGTGGGTCTAACATAATACAAGAATGTCATTAAATTTCATATCTTGTACTTTCAAATTTAAATTAGATAGTAAGTCAAATTTTGTCTTTATCACAAGTAAAAAAAACCCACATTTTAATTATGTTCTCAAAAATACTTTTCAAGTATTTGAAATTATTTTCCACATATTCTTTTCCCATGCTTTCATAATGTATACCATCAAAATACGCATTGGCAACACGAAGCCTTCTTTTGGAGATTTAATCCATATAAACACCCATTGCAGACACAAAAAATCACTAATTTTATGTCACTAGTGTTGTTTTTCCTTTCTGTCACAATTAGACAGACCACTTAGTATTTAGAATACTAACAATAAAGATTCAATCTTTATACAACTTGTTTCTAGTTTAACGATGAAGTTTTTATATTCTTCTAATCGTTAACCGAATTAACCTTGAATTCTGATGAAGTTTTTATATTCTTCGAATCAATTTCACATTCAAACAGAGTAGTAAACCAAAAAGTTTTTAATCTCCAGAAACCTCAAATACAACATTGTCTCTAGCTAACAATGAAGATTTTATCTTTTTCAAATCATTTAGACTTAATATTCCTGACGAAGATTTGTACTCTTCAAGTCAGAATATTCATTCAAACATTATATTTAACAAATTGGTGAAGTTTCTATATTCTTCAAACCAATGCACAATCTGATTTGTTTGTGAAGTTCTTATATTCTTCAAATCAAAGAAGTAAAAAATCAGAGAATTTTAGTCTCCAAAAGTCAGACACAATCAAATTTCACATGGAGTAGAAAACTACAAAAAAAAAATCTCCTCTAAACAGAATACATATTAATAGTAATAAATATATATTCTGAGATCATCACATAATGACCATCTATCCTAAAATTTATAAAATAAATCTCATAACTTATAAGGATAGACAAAATAATAATCAAGGGAAATAAAGATAAAACTTGATTTACCCCCATTGAATCATATTCTATTTGTCAGCAATGATTCCATGCAAGTCATTTTTCTTGCTAATTTTTTCCTTTTTTTCCAGTTTCCGTCATATTTCAATTTTCCTCAGAAGACATTGAATTTCAACGAGAAACTAAACTCATGTTCAAATATTGTTAGGAGACAACATTTGTTTATTTGCTTCTTCTCATAGTTATGTAAACCAAGAATATAGAGAGAGAAAAAGTTAAAGTGCATATCTTAACCTTTATGCACAAAATAATTTTTCTTATTGAAAAGAAGACCGAAGGGGTGCAATGCTTCAATGCACTTGGGAAGAAAGTAAAAATAGTTTTACCCATCCAAGGAAAACTTACTACAGAAAATATACTCAAACATATTAAAGTAGTACTAATTCATCCCAAAACTCTTTTATCATATGATAAAATAATTCTCTTTTTCTTCTTTTTCTTTCCAACAAAAAGAACATAGAAAATAAAAGTAATTTCCTTACCACAGAAAATACCATCAATATAAACTTTTTCAGCTTGTTTTCTCCTGTATTCAGATTAGTAAACCAGAAATAATAAAAGATGAAAAGAAAAACAAAGAACTATCCGAGTCCACAGAACCCATTGTGTCCTTAAGAAATTTAATCCCCTCAAGTACCCGAGATTGCAGATTAATTCCTCCCAAGATAAAACGGATTAACCATTAAAGAAGTAGTGGTACCTCAAACTTCAATAATTTCAACGAACTCAAAATGACAACAATGAATCACACATACAGACACGATCAATCGATTTTATTTTGTAAGAAATCTATGCAAGAGAAGGGAAGAATTCGATGCAGAAAAATGAGAGAAAGTCTCTCTATTTATAGCCAATAAAGGGTAAAGGTCACAATTTTTTAGGAAAAAGGCAACCTTTCAGAAAGGTTACAACCCTTTGAAAAAGGCATAACCTTTCAAACGGTCACAACTCTTTAGAAAAGACACAACCTTTCATAAAGGTCGCAACCCTTCGGCAAAGTCACAACCCTTTAGGAGAGTCACAACTCTTCATTTCATGTTCACACCTTTAAAACCCAACAAAATGTACATTTCAAAATTTCAACTTCCCTATTTCCCTCCATTCCCACCTCATACCTATCAATTTCCTCCACCAAGTGTGTCACCACCACCCCACCAACCTAATACACCTCATTTCCCGCCGCAAGTGGCCCCACCACGCCCACCGGTTGCACCATTGCCTCCGAAAGTGGCATCATCACGTCCACCGGTTACACCATCACAACTACCAAAAGTGGCCCCACCACGTCCACCTGTTACACCATCGCCACCAAAAGTGACACCACCACGTCCACCAATTACACCATCACCACCAAAAGTGGCACCACCACGTCCACCGGTTAGACCACCTGCACCTCCATGTCCACATTCAAGTCCACCCGTTACACCATCACCACCACATCATTATCTTAGTCCACCACCTCCATCACCAATTAAGCCACCACCTCGTAATTTTTATCCTCCACCACCACCACACATTGTTCCAACTCCACCCCATCTCCACCAGGACATCATTCACATACCATTATCATTATATTCGTCTTTCTTGGTGGTCTGTTCTTTCTAGTATTTCTCTCAGTTGCTCTGTGCTGCTTCCTTAAGAAGAAAAAAAAGAAAGCTTGTCAGGAAATTGATATCGTGAAAGTGGATGAACACATGAAGGTCCGTGAAGATGTTGTAACCCGTCCAGATGGAACAAAAGCTGTCATTCTGACAATTGATAAAGGTATACATATAGATGAAGAAATCGTGAAAAGGGAGAAAATTGAGAAGGGTGTACTAGGACAATTGGGAGGCGAACATCTTGATGCTACAAACACTATGGCATCATCATCTAATTCCAATAATCACAACCATGACCATAAAAGCGGATAAAATTTGCAAAAGACAATCTCCGTCCATATCGTTCTTTGTATCAATGACACAATAATAATCATCACATTATAAATATGAGAGAAAAATGTAACAGGGACATTACAAAAAAGAGTAAGCAGAACAAGTTAATCAACTTGATGTTTGTTAAATAACCAAAACATGATTTCTTCATATGTTTTTCTAACTCTAGGGAATGTTGATGTATTTCTAACCTTCATGTATATAATGCAATGTTATGAACTGCTTTAAAAAACTATAATAATCTGATTCCTCCATTCTATGCACTAACTCAACTCAGACAGCTACTCCAGTATGACCCTAAAGTCACTCAGCATTTCAAATTGAAAAAACAGATAGAGACACATAAGAAATGGTAGGAACACGATAAAAATTCAACATAAAACTTGGAAAAACTGGTTGATATCACAAGACATTCAAGATTGTTTAACCAAGTAGAGAAATACAGACCTAAGAGTAGTACTGATGTAAAATAAGAAATCTAGCCTATGGGAATACAGCCAACAACTTCATTTATGCACTTTTCCCCATAGTATCATGGAAAGATCGTAGATCTCTCTTTCAATACAACAATCCATCTTCGGATTTTCTCCCTGTGTTTTTCTTGTTTCTTTGAATCTCTGTTCAAGAGAATCTATCTTGTCCTCCATATCTTTCTTGGAGAACTTCAGCTCAGGGAATGAAGTTTTTACATACCGAATATGTTTGTCACTTGATTCATCATCAAAAAACATCTTTGAATGCAACAAAGATATAAGAATTGCTAAATTCAGATGTAACTCTTCTTTTGCATTTTCAACTCCACCACATTCTTGATTTTCACAGAATAATGATCATTGACTCCCAATACAACATTCAATCCCTCTTTTCTTTCACTTTGTTCAACAATTTCTCCCAATGGATTGTATTGTTCCTGTCTTCTTAGAACAGGTCGGTTCATTCCACCAGCATATTGTTTCACAGATGCGTCATATGCTTCTTTACTTTTACGAAATGCCTCTCCTCGGACATTAGAAAGGTGTCGCCAACTAGCACAGGTTCCGGTACAGAAACCACCTACTAATCCATTAGCAAAGTATGCCGACAACATCTCGGCTACGTGATGACAGCGCTGTATTAGCGACCTTTTCCGAAATCATCTGGGGACTATTCGAGATAAGCCAGAGTCTACAATCCATAAATTCTGGTCGCTGCACAAAGATTCACAGTTAGAGATCAATCTGATTAATAAACAATAAGAAAAACACAGTGAATTGAATAATTACCTCACTCAATTTCAAACAACCTCTGTTGACATATGGCCAGTGGCGGCTCAAGCAAATTAGTGGCCTAAAGCCAAATATAAATAGGAGGCCTAGCTTATATTTTTGAAATCCAAAGCCAAATATATATATATATATACACCAAAATATTTTTTAATCTTGTGATCTTAAACATGTCACGTGGAAGTTAAATTTAAAAATTGACAAAAAAGAAAGAAACATTCTTTAATGTTTCGAAACGAACTAAAAGAATGACAAAATATAATTTATTTTTTGTTTAAAAAATATTTATAATGATTCTATTATTATTATTATTATTATTAAAAATGGGGCCCTCAAATTTTGGGGGCCTAACACGGTTGCCTCATTTTTAAAGGCATTGAGCTCCCTGCGTATGGCAATACCATTTGTTTGATTTTATCCACCGTTGCTGAATGCAGTTTATTGCCAGCCCAACTGTAAAGCTTATAACTAGCCATTGTAAACGTCTTTATTTCTTGAACAAGAAGCAGAAGAAGAAAACACAGGAACGGGATGACTATTTTGTTTCTTTGGGAGAATTATGAAAAAGAAGAGGGAAGTTTACAGAGTATTTATATGATGAACAGAGTTAAAAGAAATTGGGGGCCAATGAGCAGTTAGAAATGGCGCGCATAACCATATTCAGTTATCTGTTTTTTTTTTGTTTTTTTTTAAGGTAAGGTTAAACAGAAAAATGTGGACGGAAGTATTATTATTATTATTAGGGAAAATTACGCGTATAAACAAACATATACTAGTTAATTACTTAACATAGCTATAGTTTACCTTAATTACAATTCGCAATCTATTTTTAGCTATAATTACACGGCTCAGCTTTTTAGTTTTGTATAATTCGCACATTTATATAATTCATAATTTGTATAACTTTTCTATAATGTAATTTTTGTATAATATAATTCGTATAACTGTTTACACTTCAGATGTCTGTAATTGTATAAATCCGTTATTTCGAGTTTATACAAAAATAACTGAATTACACAAATATACTCGCGAATTATACAAACTTGTGAATTATACAAATCCGCGAATTATACAAACGAGACAGCTTAATTAAATTGTAGCTACAGCCCGTAAATATGCAAACTATAACTATGGAGCATAATTAAGTTTATTATAATAGCTATTTGCAAAAGTTCCCCTTATTATTATTATTATATAAGAGAGAACTTTATAAACCTTCTCTCTCTCCGATTATGCTCTATATATATTCTATTTGTATCAAAATACTTGTCATGCTTTGTTTTTCTAAAGCCAACTTAACAAATCTTTCGAAGCTAAATTTGATTAGATGATTAATTCAATATTTTCAAATCAAAATTAAATTATGGTATTTGAAAACTATACAAAGTGTTATAAGTTACCGTTTTTCTTAGGTTAGATCATGTACTTTGACACTTAAAAAGCAAAATATGATAAGTATTTTGGAACAATTAGAGCGGCAAATATATTTCACAAATTAAAGCGTGCAAGAGAAATTTACTAATATATTTGGAGGAACATAATGCAGATCATCAGAACTCTTGATGCAAGAAAAATGTTTTCAAGACTCGCTGTAAACGAAGAGAATATCTAATATAGTATAATTTTAAAGCGTATATCCAGCTTAAATATAGTGCACAAACTAAATTTCTATCATCAGACTACGCTCCTCAAAAATTCTTTCCTAGCTCAACTTTTTTCACCATTCTCATTGTGTTGTGCAGAATCGAGTCCAGTATGCCGGCAACCTGTACCAGCCAAAAAGAACGAATGTAGGGGGATTTCAATAAAGATGACACAAATAAAAGCCCAGAGAAAGTTGTTAGCGGGGAATGAAGATGTGAAACAACGGGAGAGGCAAGTAGGAGAGACTGACCGTGAAAACACCACCAATAATAGCGCAGACATTGGTAAGAAAATGTGAAAAGGACTTGGGATTTTCTGTAATCAAGACCTGACAGCAAAGGACATATAATAAGAATAAGAAACCAAAATAAGATGTAATAAGCTCTATCACATAATCATGAAATGTACTGATGCAACACCTGCATTGGTGATGGCTCATAATGAAATTTCACTACTGGTATATGAAGACTATGAACCAAACTACTATGCGCTGTGTACTCGTACTCCTCAACTAATTTGTACGATCTTGTCATCACCTCTGTTTTCACCACTTGAAGAAAATGTTCAATCTGCAATAAAGATAAAAGGTGAGCTAGGTTTTCTGGTCATCCCTGAAACTCTTTATCAATGTACCAGCTGAAAAATATCATAGAAGTGCACCCAAAAACTCGTGGAGAAGCAGAGGAAACCGTTGAGAATTGAGATTTCTTCATACTTCCGTAAAATTTTATAGACCGGAGTTGGTAAAAGCAGCAAAATGTAAAATATAACATTTAAATTTATAAATGATTGGGGCTCTGAACAGTTGGTAATTTTAATGCTCTGTCTCAGTGTTATTTTACCATTTATAAATATCACTGATAAGAAAATGGATATTGGACCTAACTCAACCTCAAAAGCAAGCTCAAGAGGTAAGGATTGCCCAAGACCAAACAAAGAGACCAATCATCGTTAACCCACCGATGTGGGAACTCCACACCCCAGCACACCCTGTACTGACAATTGGAACGTGGTCAATATGAGATAGTAGCCCAGCATCGGGTAAACAATTAATTGGGATGGTCCTGACTTTGATATTATGATAAAGAAAATGAACATTGAGCCTAACTCAACCCCAATAACTAGCTCAAGAGGTGAGGATTGCCTAAAAAGTAAAAGCCATATAAAGAAACCAAATCACCCTTAACCCACCAAAATGGGAACCCAAATGTTGAGATGAGATGGTCACACAATCCAACAATTACTTATCCAAAAAAAAAGGAGGGATATAGTAGGTGAGTAGGAGCTTACAGTAACATTTTCTGTAGAATCTCTTGGATTAGTAACATATGAGTTACCATTCAACCGATCATGGCTTCGACCCAAATGTGGTAGCAGTATTTTGATATCACTCATAACCTTCGGAGTTATTGTCTTACCAAATGAAAAGCTAGAAATTACATGTGACATGTTCATCTGAGAAGCATCAAATGAATGAGCAGCTGAACGAGCTGATATGACAAGGTTGCCAGGAACCTGAACAGTACATAACATAAATGGATATATTAGTTTGTCAAATATTTTAAGAGTAGCAAGATTATAATGCATGAGCACTTCAACAATCTTACTGCCCAGGTTTATATTTCAAACTACTTAAAACATCTCATATTTCTCATTGTCTCCAGCATCATCCTTGTGTTTTTTTAGTTTGGGTTGCGGCTGCAGGGGCACTTATTTTTTACTGGCTCCCATTAATAACTTGCGTACCTTTTTAACACGTACAAAACCTTCTATTCTGCATCCTCCAGTTACAGGAGCAGGTCTTTTCAAGCCAGTTTCCAGCTTGGTAGACGAATTATCCGAAGAAATCATTTGAGAATCCAACTTGATAGGTGCAACCAAATCTTCCATCATCTGCAGAAGAATAAATATCCCAGTCATTTCAATGGCATGATACAAATGATACAATAACATGTAAGGCCACACAACTGCTGCATGGCATTGTGAAAAATTAGTACAAACAGTTGTGCCCTGTATATCCAAAAAGGAAGCATGATTTGGACCAGCTCTGTTTTTCTTCTCAATCTTAACCAT